CCCTCTCTTCCCAACCTGTGACAGGCAAGGGGCTGGTCTCCTTTACCACCATTGCTACCCCACCCTTCAATTGCAAACCACTGCTAACATACGTCTGATATCCTTTCAATCTCAGCTCACATCCAGCCCTGTGATTACGCTCCTGCAAAAAAACAAATGTCGACATCAAACCTCCGTAAAAACCACACCAACCAAACTTTCTTGACCTCTGTCTAAAGGCCATTAACATTAAGTGTGACACATCTGAATGTTATAGAAGGGGTGGTTTTCCCCTATGCCGCTGGGGTTTACTCTCTGCACTTTTCACATTATGTGCACCTGCTTTTCATGCGTTTTTTCCTGTGCACTCACCCCCCCCTCCCTCTCCCACTGTGCAACTCAGTCGCACCTCTACCACTATGAGCCATCGGCTCACCACCGCTGCCCATGATTTCTTCCCCGGCCTCTGCCTCAGGGTGATGACCTCGTCTATCTCTGATGCTCCTGCAGTTCTTTTCCTAGAACTTCCGCTTACACACACATATCAACATCAGGCGAATCCTCCTGGTGTATCTTCACGTCCACCACATGCTCCAGTCATTCCTTACTCAAGGCTTTCTCTGCGTTTTGTTGTCCCTCCAGTGCTCCATCCTCACATGAACTCAAGATGCCTTCTGCACAGGACTCCACCCCATCCAAAAAATCCTTGAGCACATCCGCCAATAAACCATCCTGGGTCGAAGCATCCTGGACTTAAGATTCCTTACGCATCACCTTCGTCTCCCCCGATGCCCCTGGGAGAGTGACACACGTCTCCACCGCCGCCTCCTCCCTTTCGACCTCCTCGCTCCAGAGGTCAGTCCTCCATCCTCCTAACGCACTCTAGTCAGGCACCAAGTCGCACGGCTGCTAAATCACAGATGAAGGCCCCGGAACTCGAGGAGCCTGCCTCCGAGGACACTGGGCTGCCGTGTGCTCATAGGAGCTACACAAACGGCATGTTTTCCTCTGACCAGCAAAGTACACAAAAATCTGTGTCCTATAACCAGCCAACATAATGTAAATTCAAATTCAAAGTTTATTCTCTATAAGGATTACATTGTTTGGTTTACATGTAGTAAAATTGTGATTACAGAGTGTACCACTAGAACGCTTAGCATGGCTAGGCATTTCGGGCATACTTAGTTTTATTCTTAATTGTAAAATATTACAAATTATGAGGTAAGTTGGTATTATGGCTAAGTGACTAAATACTAGTTTGTGAGTTTAGCAATGTGAATGCTTTTGTTTTGGCACAGTACATAGTTTCAGTATTGGAGTATCACAGGATTCATTATTTTAAGACTGAGATTAATATTTCTGTTTATGGTCAAATGAGTGAGTGAGTGTAAGTGTGAACCACCAGGTGGTATTCGTATAGTTAGTTGACGGGGTGTATCAGGGAGATAAGATGTTTTCTAATGGTAGTTTTGAAGGTGATGAATGTGTCTGCAGTTCTAGAGTTCTCAGGTAGGGTATTCCAGATTTTAGGGCCTTTGACATACATTGAATTTTTGTAAAGGTTTAGTCAGACACGGGGAATGTCGTAGAGATGTTTATGTCTGGTGTTATGCCTGTGGGTTCTGTCACAACTATCAAGAAAGCATTTTAGGTCAAGGTTGATATTAGAGTTTAAGGCCCTGTAGATGTAGATTGCACAGTAGTAAGTGTGGATGTACTGAACTGGGAGTAAGTTTAGATCTATGAAGAGTGGGGGGGTGTGTTGCCAGGGATGGGATTTAGTGATTATTCTTACTGCAGCTTTTTGTTGGGTTATTATTGGCTTTAGGTGTATTGCTGCAGTTGATCCCCAAGCACAAATAGCATAGGTGAGGTATGGATAAATAAGTGAGTGGTATAGTGTGAGAAGAGCATTTTGCAGCACGTAGTATCGTATCTTGGAGAGGATCCCAACCGTTTTGGATACTTTTTTGGCTATATGCTGGATATGGGTGCTGAAATTCAGGTTGTTATCAAGGTATAAGCCTAGGAATTTTCCCCCATTATTTCTGGTAATTAGAGTGTTGTCAATCTTAATGTTAATTTGTGCATCTCCTGCTCTGCTACCAAACATAATATAGTAGGTTTTGTATAGGCCTTGTTAAAGACATTTTGAGGTAGTAAGAACCCTCCAGCAGCCCTTAACACGGACCATCCCTCCACACTCCCATGATTGCAGAATGCACTGTCCTGTAACTGCTGAAAAACTCCTGTAGACTATACGCCGTCGCCTCGAAGGGTACATTTCGTACCTTCACCCATGTGAAGTACTTAGAGACGTCATGTAAAACGACATCCACTGCTGAATTAACACTCATGCGTTGTTCCTGGTAACTCTCGACGATTCTTGTGTAGAAGCCGACTCATACAAATTTCACGAAGATTCTTGTCAATCCATTCAGAGTGTGAGACCTCTACCCACTCTACCGGAGGTATCCCAGCGAGTGAGCACGTCTCCTGTATATCCCAGTGCTTAACAAAATAGGGAATAGCATATGAAGGTACAAATAAAAATGGGAACTATGGCTATAGTTTACTTAATAACATAAAAGGGCTAGAATACAACATATCCTGATGGAAATTTACACAATATAACAATTGACCTATGAGACTTATTACCAGGGGGAAGGGTAGATGTTATCAGTAACACGGACTAGTAATCACTCTTAATTCACCGACCAGCTGACCCGAGATTCCCAATGCGTGGTCCACTACACACGCGGCTGTCCAGAGCTCTCGCTCGACGGACCTGTCACCAACAACCTCTTTGCCCTGCTGTTCCCTGGGCTTATATCGTAGTCAAAGTACCCCCTCCCCAATGGTGTATGTACCACGTGTTACGACCTGACGCCGAGGTCTGACGCTGTTAAGAACAAAAGACCTCAGACGTGGGCGTGACTACCCGACATTTGCTAAGGCAGGTGTGACCATATAATTAGGTCTCCCTAGAGACCTCACAAGCCCATCTGAACTGCATCACAAGAGCGATGCCATACAATTCCTCATTGAGGATACCATATGCATCCCTTATGATGCCAGGGAGTAGGACGTTCATCGTAGCACCACTTAATTGTGCACGAACCAGCTCAATGCAGACTGTGTTTATCCTCCGCCCCATACGTTCCACCATCTTGGTAGCCAAGTACTCAACCCACCACTGGGTGTCAAAATGGGGTAGTCTCGGAAAGCGTCCTCTTGCCCCGCAGGTTGAGAGATGAATGATTTTTTTTTTCAAAACTTGACAATGGCGACCAGATATATTCTGCGGCAACTCTTTCTATACTTGATCCCATCCATCATCGAGGATTATGTTTATGTCTAGGTGCTTTTCGCTCCTCCCTTGTCGAGAACCTGTATGCAGAGGCGAATGTTCCTTCCTTTAACAATCGCCGTGATGCCCATTGCCTTCGTTATTTTGTTTACTATCATGACCTTCACAATCCTTATACATACAGGGTACTAACGGACCTAAATGGAGGTCCATTATTTGTTCGCTGCACCTTTTTTTCTCCTTTCATTTTCACTTCATCTTCATTCGCTCTTGACTTCTCTTCAGTTGCCCCCTTTGTACGTTCATCTAGCATCTAACTTTTTTTCCCTTAGGAGGTTCCGAGAGTTTATGTCTGTTCTTCCCCACTGACGTGCATGAAAACTCTAATACCTACAGTGACTTCTCTCTAACTTTTGCTTAATCACTTCCGGTCTCATTCTCGTGCAGTTCCAGTTTACACTGAAGGTTCCAAATCCTCTGACAGTGTCGGGTTTGCAGCAGTGTTCCAAGACAGTGGTGTACGAGGACATTTATTACATTCAGGTAGCATCACAACCGAACTGTATACAATTTCATGGCGATTATCCATATTGCTACAGGCCTACCTTATCGTTTTGGTAGTCTTGGACTCCTTTAGTGCTTTACAAGCTATCAAAAAAATTAATTCGCCTCATCACCTACTTCTTTCTATACAACTTTGGTTGATCAGCATTTCTAGCAAAAACAAAGAAATTGTTTTCTGCTGGGTGCCTGGGCATGTTCATGTTTCAGGCAACAAGTAGGCTGACTGCTGCGTGGTCAGTGCAGCAGTCAGCCTGCTTTGTAATCTTTGCAACCGTTGACAACAACATTGGTCTAAATTAATTCATAACAGATTACACTCTATCAAGCCAAGTATCGGAGGTTACACTTTCCCTTCTTCACATCGAGCACATATGTCTTACTCATGGGTAAATCACGGAGGGGCGCCCAGTTCCAACCTGTGCGAATTTTCAGGATCCAGTTTCACTTTGGTATTTTCTGTTGGACTGTCAAGTCTATCAGCAAGCACCCAGAATTTACCTTCGACGTCGTCACTGCTCTAACACCCTTACTATATATTTTCTCTTCGCTGACAGCCCCACCACTGACACATACTTTTAACAGCAGATTTGTTATACAACCTTTGATTATACTTCCTTTACACTCTTCACTGACCTTACAGACTCTACCCTGCAGCGCTGTATGACCCTGCTGGTTTAACGATTAGTTATGATTATAATAATAATAACAATGTATATATTCACAAAATAGTTATATGTGTATTTTCATTCATTCAGTGTAAATTTACATGTGTACCTATACATATTCAGCATATATCAATATATGTAAATATTAACATTTATTATATAATTTCACACGTGCATAAAATATTCAAAGAATGACTATAACATATATGCAAATTTTTACTGTGTATTTTCATTTATTTATAAGCATAGAAAAAATTATATTATAAACTTCTTTATTTGCTTAAAGTATAATGTTTAATTAAGTCGACCATGTCGAAGATGAAACGAAAATAATTACTGATGAAATTTTGAACATCTTTGACTTCATCTCTCCCTCCCTCCCTCCCTCTCTCTCTCTCTCTCTCTCTCTCTCTCTCTCTCTCTCTCTCTCTCTCTCTCTCTCTCTCTCTCTCTCTCTCTCTCTCTCTCTCTCTCTCTCTCAGGAATGAGGTTTGCACTGATGGAGTCTAAGTTAGTGCTGGCCAAGCTGGTGGAGAACTTTGAGCTCCGTCCTGACCCAGCCAGTCCTGAGCTGCAATACTCCTTGATAGCAATGATGCCCAAGAAAGACATCAACCTTATCCTCACCCCCATCACTACAAGGTCAGTCCTCACCCATCACCCCATCACTACAAAGTCAGTTCTTATTCATCCCCCTATCACTAACAGGTTAATTCTTTCTCATTACCACCATACCAATGCTTACCCGTCATCCCATCACCACCAGGTCAGTTTTTATCTATCATCTTATCACCAAGAGGTAAATTCTTTCCCAGCACCACAATACCAATCCACACCCATCATCCCATCACCAATAGGTTAATTCTTTTCCCCTCACCGCCAGTTCATTCCTTACTGATCACCACCAGTCTTTTCCCATCACCACCAGGGAAGTTCTTACCCATCACCAGGTCAGCTGTAACTCATCAATCCCATCCCAAGATGCCGTTATGAAAAGTAGCCCCACACCTATAACTTCCACAGCAGCCGTCTACAACATCCCTTGTGGATACTGCCCTAGAAAAAATATAGGGAAAACAGGCAGAAATTTTTAGGTCCTCCTGAACGAACATCGATACGCCAGCTACAGAGACGACTTAAGGTACGCCTGTCTCCTGCACAGGGACTCCACGGGACTTGATGAATTTGTAATGAAGCACGACTCGTCCTTATCAAACAAGACCTTAGACGTCCAAGATGTCTAGAAGCCTCGCTGATCGCTGTCACCAACACCATAAAACATAATACTAGAAGCTACAAATTTTCAAAAACATTAGCATTGTGAGGGAAAAGTTCAACAGATAGGAGTAGCAAGCGAGTATATGGTAATGATAGTTTGATTGCCGGCTGCTTGTTAAGGTAGGGTCAGTCTAGCTCCCGCTATCCCCCCCCTTTTCCCCCACCCCGAAAGGTGACGTGTGGGGCTCCGGCCAAACAGTAATCACTCGACTCACAGCTCCCAGCACAACTGTAAGTAGAAGCCTGCTCCTATTTTAGTGGACTTATTGGTTGAAAGTTTCACTTTTGACCAATAATAAACTTAGTCCTTCTCAGCCTTGATCTCCATGTTAGATGTTTTGATAATCACCATGTCTTTTAGGTATTGTACTTATCATGGAGAGTGATTTCTTAAGCAGTGGGTAACCTGTCTCTCTTTCCAGCTTGGAATGACAGATTGGGTCACTTGCCAACCAACGAGAAGTATTGAAGGAGACGGACTGAAACAGCCCAAGAGACGTCATGCATAATCTACCTGCCTGATTAATTGTACAGGACACTACCCCTCATCTTTGCAGTGGTAAAGAACCTGAGTTCCTGTCATCTGGACTGACTATTCAAGGCTATAGACTGTGAAGAACTAGCCATTGGGCTGTCACCAACACCTGTGACTCCCCCCCCACATCATCAGTAACGGCTACACTTTCTACAAGACGGTGTCAACATCAACCAGACACCCCAGTTTACTTGTACATATTAGCGTTGAATTCTAATGTCATTTTTTCATTTCATTTTTCATTTTTCTTTCAAATAGGATACACCTTCATGTTTCACTGTTTTATCTTTGCATTAACAAATAATAAAGTGTTTATCTTTGTGAATTATTATTTCTTTTTCTATTCATTAATTTTCCTGAGGAGGAGCCAGCCTTGGTAATACTGACTGAAGTTGTTACAGGGCTGAGTAAGCCTTCACAAGTGGCGACCTTGCCAGGATCAACTCGACTGAATCAAGGTTCAACTCCATCTCGAATCTACCATTGGAGCTTCAACGCAGCATACCACATATGGTTACCACCAGCCATGAGTAATCATTCTCTATGGTAGGACTACAGTACAGGTATTTAAAAGATTTGGTGATTGTTATAGTCTCAATTTATTGTAAGTCAAGTCATGGCAGGATATACTAGTTAATTCTGTCACCTTTGTGAGTTTGAAGTGATTTGGAGGAATAGACTCTAGGGACCCGAGATTTTCCAGTGACAAATTGTCTCATTGAGCTCTTCATTATATCAAGGGAACTGTCGTAGGACACTCTTGATTTGTTGATGAGAAGATTGGATGGTCAAGGGACCCCATTCTACTTACTGTTTGCTCGGAGCCGGCATAGAACCCTCAGTTTTCATTGACACATACTGTTTAATCGAAGCAGGGATCGAACCCTCCGATTTATTTACAGTTTGAGCAGAGCAGGAATTGAACCCTCCGTTTTCTTTGATATATCTGTTTCATTTTCCCCTGGTAGTTTAAGTTATTCTTGCAAGTATGGAGGAATACCAGTTCTGGATGAATGCTGGGAGTAAGTTAGGAATAATGGGGAAAAATTTAGAAGCTTTCATTAGTGCTAAAAGCCAGGAAAGAATTGGGAAGGAAAAAATTAAGAAAGACAGAAAGAGAAAGAGAGAACCAAAAAAGACAGAAAGAGAAAGAGAGGAGAGAAAGGAGAGAGAAAGAATAGAGAGGATAAAAAGGAGAGAGATCGAATTGAAAGAGAAAACCAAGATAGACAGTTAGAAAGAGAGAGAGAGGACAAAAAGGAGCATGACAGACTTGATCGTGAGGAAAGAGCTAGAGAACGTGAGGAAAGAGCTAGAGAACATGAGTTAAGAGAGAGAGAAAAAGATCGCAAGTTCGAAAAATCTCGCCTTGAATTAGGGAGTAAAAAGTTAACTTTTTCACAACAACAATTAGAGGAAGGAATAATTGAACATCATGCAGTCAGTGCACATATTCCAACACCTAATTTACCTCCCTTCACAGAGGGTGAAGACATTACTTCATACATTATCAGGTTTGAAAATACCGCTACCCCCTGTGAATGGCCAGCTGTCACCTGGGCTACCAGGTTAGGTATGTTATTTTCTGGTACAGCTTTGAATATCTATGTAACTTTGTCACAGGATATATGTAAATATAACCTACTGAAGAAGGCAATCCTCAAAGCATATAAAAAACCACAAATTCTTATAGGAAAGATTTCAGGTATGCCACCTTACAGCATTGCCAAAACTTTCAGCAGTTACAGGTAACACTCTTTCGTGTGTTCGACTTTTGGATAGAGAGCTCAGGAATTGATCACTGTTATGAATCTCTTAGAGACTTCATGGTTGCTGACCAGTTCCTGACAGCTCTTCCTCACCAGATACGAACATTTATTAGAGAACGTAACCTGATTAAAGCTGATGAAGTTGCTGAGGCCGCTGACTTGTATGCTGAGGCTCACAATTCCTATAAAGACCTGAAAGAATCAAACCCTAAGGGCAAGGGTTCACCAGATCTTAAGAAATCAAAGCCTCTAGTGAAAAACAAACAAACTTCTTTCATTCCTGTTTGTCATTTATGTGGTGTTAAAGGACATAAACGTCCCGATTGTCCTTCTAAGAAGCTCCAAAAAGTTGGAAGATGTTTTAAAGACTGTAATGACCAAGCACCCTTCTGTTCAGGAACAGTTAATGGACTTAATGTATCTACCATTTTACGAGACACTGGATGCACATGTATAGTCATTTCTGATAAGCTGTTCCCTAATCTTAAAGAAACTCATTCCTCTGCTATTCTTTCAGACTACTTGGGCCGTACAGACACTTTTCCAACCATCCGTTGTTACATTAGGTTTAAATGGTTCACAGGTTGGTCTGAAGCCGTACTAGCTCCCATCACTTCTTGCTCCGTACTAATAGGTAATGTAAAAGGTGCCATTCTTCCTTCTGAGGTTGATCTTTCATCACCAAAGATGGACAAAAGCTTTTCAGATCCTCTTCCTGTAGAGTCAGAAAAGCCCCTCGAAAGTTCAGATGAGGCAATGTCTCGGAATATTCATGTGGGGTTAGAAACCAGTGATACTACTCTCGAAAGCGAGATAGTAGAATCACCGGTTCACTTGTTAGATGAAAGTGAGGATATCACCTCCGATACTACAAATGTCTTGCCTAGGGCTCAGACCAAAGCCCAGGCTTCTCCTATTGTCCATCCTTTGATTTTCCCTGACTTTAAGCCTTTAGATATATCGAAGGACTCCTTTGTAAATTTACAATGTAATTGCCCTTCTCTTCAGAATTGCCATAATGCAGCTAGACAAAATCAAGTTATCCAAAGGAAAAACTTTTCATATAAATTTGAATATATAAAAGATATCTTGCATAAATCAGTATTCAAATTAAATTCAGACGAAACAGACTATTCAATCTTAGTTGTTCCAAGTCAATGCAGAGAGACTGTTCTTAAAATGGCTCATGACTTACCAGTGGCCGGACATTTCTCGTATCGTAAAACCTTAAATAAAATTAGGGAAACCTATTTTTGGCCCAAAATGTCCTCAGATATCACTACCTATTGTAGATCGTGCAAAGTTTGCCAACTGTCATCCTTTCGAGGTTCCAGGTGAGTACCTATGATTAAAATGCCAATCTTTACGGTACCATTTGAAAGAGTAGCTATTGACATCGTTGGTCCTTTATCACCACTTTCATTTGGGAGACATAGATATACATTAACATTAGTTGATTATGCTTCGAGTTTCCCTGAAGCTGTACCCCTTAAAGTCCATCGTTACTTCAGAGGTGACTGAAGCCCTTCTGTCCATCTTCTCCAGAGTTGGCATCCCTAGAGAGATTTTGTCTGTCCGTGGGACACAATTCACATCTGACTTAATGCAACATCTCTACCAACTTCTGGGAGTGAAGCCTCTCTTCAAAACACCATATCATCCCAGCTGTAATGGGAGGATTGAGCGCCAGCATTCAATTCTCAAGTCCATTTTAAGGAAACTTTGCTCCCTTAAGCCTAAGGAGTGGCATCGTTACCTACCCTGTGCTTCGTTTGCCATGAGGGAAGTTCCCAGTGACTCTCTGGGATTTTCACCTTTTGAATTTCTCTATGGTAGACAGGCCAGAGGTCCATTGTCCATCCTTCATGACTTATGGACTAATGAGGAGGTAAATGCTGAGGTTCAGTCTTCTTACCAGTTTCTCCTTGACCTTAGATCCAAACTTGAGGAGACCTCTGACATAGTTTCGAAAAACTTAAGTTTGTCATACAAAACCTATTTTGATTTCAAAAGTCAGAGGAGAAGTTTTAAAGTAGGGGTGAAGTTCTGGTTCTTCTGCC